GGTTGAGCTATAGGCGCCGAGCCAATGTGTCTACTTTGTGCCTGTGGCTGGCCACATCCAGGAAGCACCCATGGATCAGTGCTGAGGAGAGGGCCTGGCCTAGGGCCGGGAGAATTGGCAGTGAACAAGGTGGCATATGGTCGAACGGGAGCAATCCTATTGCTCTCCAAGCTGGCCCAGCAGACTCTCCTGTGCCCTCCTGCACACCTTCAGGAAGGAGGGAATCAGTACAAGCCTGATGGTCCTGGACTTTCATTCACTGCACTGCCTTTCCACTCTTGCTCCCAGTTTTGCTCAGGGGATTGCAACCATCCTCAGAGCAGGAGTAAGAATGGCCAAGGGCTGGGTGCCAGTCTGGTCCTGATCCCAACTGACCTGTAGCTGGAGCCTCAGGCAGAGGAGCCACCCCCTCCTACATGTGGCTGTAGGAGGTCTCTCCAGGCCTCTCACATCCCACCTCCTGTCTCTAAAGCCCAGGGAACACTGGCTCCAGGGTGGAAGGAGCTCTCTGCGCCAGACTGGATTTGCTCACACAGGGAGGCATGGAGAGGCCAAGCAGTCTGGGGCTCTCCAAGGGGCAGTGTGGGGCCCAGCACACTTTGTGGATCTGGAGAGGTGCCCCAGTGGCTGGTTAAGATAGGGGCAGGACAGGGCCTGCTTCCTGGAAATCAGTTCACTTTGCTGCTGGCTCTGTGGTCTCTTTCACACACACACACACACACACACACACACACACACCCTTAGCAAGCAGAGTGATGGACCAGGTCAGTTTCTGGTAGGCACCTTTGAAAATAAGTGAGATTCTCCCTAGAGAAGCAGCTCTATTCCCCATGAAGGGCTGGGTGTTGGAACCACAAGAAGAGGTTTATTCATTAGGGAATGGAAGTTTTTCTTCCACCACAGATCTCAACAATTGTGAAAATAAAAACAGCTGCTTCCGTCCACACTTATCCCACTAGCCAGCCTGGGGTACAAAGACTGTCCCTGGGTACTCAGGGTCTGGGAGGAAGTCAAGTCTCAAACCTTGTCTGGAGCATCTTGGATCTGGGTGAAGTCGCTGAAAGGCTCCATGAGGTGGGGAGGAATTTCCTGAGCCTCTATCGTTAAAACAGCTCAGATGCAGCTCAAACTGGGGGCAATTGAAAGGGTTCAGAGATAACACAGGCAGGAGAGGGGCAAACGGTGTCTTCTCCAACTCATTGGTGTACAGGGGGGGAAAGGGGTAGGAAACTGACCAAATGGAGGTACAGAAATATCGGTCCTTTGACACTCACCAATGTGACATTTGATACAGCTCCAGTGCTATGCTAGGCACTGTACTGGGCACCGAGGTTACAAAAACATGGCATGATCCTTGTCTAGTGAGAAAGAGGTCAGCATCTGAAATCAAGGACTCTTACCTACACCCCAGCAGGTTCCAGATAATCTATGTAAAGCACTTAGTGTAGTACCTGGCATGCAGTTACAGCTCAATAAATGGTAGCTATTATTAGCCATTATTACAAGAAGCCACAGAATAAACACAGCAGAACTTCCTGGACAGCCAATTTTACTCAATGATTAGAGAGGAAAGGACATTTTTTAAAATATTAAAACAATAAACACATGTACAAGCTGGAGGAGAATGCAAAACCCACTTTTATTTATTTCTTTTCATGTCAGATGGGTAATGTGCCCATGTCATAACAAGGTTTGAGGGAAGCACATCTCATATCCGTGTGAAAACCCAATCATCATGCTTATGAACTGCAAAAGGATCATCCTTTGCATGTTTTTAGTTTAGAGCCAGGGTCTCTCTATGTTACTCATGCTGGTCTTGAACTCTTGGTGTCAAGTGACCTCCTGCCTCAGATTCCCAAGTGGCTAGACTATGGGCATGCACCACCATGCCCAGCTCCATTTGGATCTGTGACATCAAACACAGACCTCCATTGCTTTGCCCCTTCAACCTACTTGCTCACCCCTGCCTCCCATGTCCCACCCCCTCAGGGGGACCAATGGATTTGCCTCTGTAATCAAGAGCTTCTTAAAGGGAGGCCTGCAGAAACAATGTGACTAAGAAAGCCCCCCCGCACAAGGAATTGGGAGACTCTGCTGGTTATTGTGACCTTGGGGGCTAAATTCCGTGGGCCCTGTTTCCCTGGTTTCACTGGTAAAATGAAGTTAACAATGCCTATAACCAAGATTGTGAGAATAGACAAGATAAAGTATGTGAAAGTGCTTGGCACAATGCCCGGTCAATAATATGTGCTTAATAAATGTTAGGTTACCAGGGGCCAAGGAGACAGAGCCAAAGGAGCATGGGGGATAGAGCAGAAGCTACTATGTTATTGCTGTTATGTCTCCTAGGTCTTTACAGAGGAGGGAGTGGGGACCTGTGTCCTTGCAGCAGTGATTCCACATGGCCAATCTGCACTGTGATCTTGGATGGGAAGGTCTTGATTTGAAAACCCAGCTTTGCCCTGAAAGCATATTTGAACACCCCTCCAGCTCATTTAGCCCTAGTTTTCTCTATATCTTAAGTACATAAATTTTCCAAGATTGGGTCCATTGAGAACCACCCTAAGCCCAATACCCTATTAGTACTTGGTTTAGGGCATCTAACTTCTTTGAACTTTTCCATGAGTGTAGTTCTGTATCTTCATCAGCCTATAATCAAACCAAGGAGCTGGGATTCTGCCTTTTTTGAAGAGTCTAAATACTGTAATATCAAACTATTTTACTAATCTGTCGATGGTCTTGCAGAAAAATGTGGAAAAAATTATTTTGACTGAGAAGAGTTAGGGCCAGATCCTGAATATTCTTAATTTCTCTTTAACAGCCATTATAAATCTATTCTGTGAGAATATATCTAGCTCTTTTGGAACTTACATGGTGACACATTAAATTAGAATTACTTACCTAGGTATAGAGGTATGAGTTTGTGTTCCCAGTTACTTGGGAAGCTGAGGAGGGAGGATTGCTTAAGGCCAGAAGTTTAAGATCAGCCTGAGCAACATAGGGAAACCCCATGTCTTAAAAAAAAATAGAATTGGCTCGGTGCCTATAGCTCAACCGGCTAAGGCGCCAGGTTCGAATCCCCAGCCCGGACCCGCCAAACAACAATGACGGCTGCAACCAAAAAATAGCCGGGCGTTGTGGCGGG